AAATAAATAAATAAATAACAAAATGAACATAGTAATATGATAAGTATGTTAACATACCCTCTACGCACTTAACAGCTAGCATACATAAAATTAATAATATATGTGCAAGTGTGAACTGTCAGACTAGAATAAATATGACTCTGACCCTTAGCGACAAGAATATGTAAGAGAAGAACGCTGAGCCTTACAACCTCAGCGATAGAATAAAAACAGCTAATAGACCCACGCGGAGCCTTACAAACTCAGCGATAGACGCACTAGATTTAAGGGTTGAAAGTATGCATAAGTCTGGGTATATAAGCCCAGGCTCAGAAGAATAAAGAATTAATACGCAACTAAACACCATCATAGTCAAGTGTATTCGTTCACATTATTTACTTTATTTATATAGATTAAATTAGATGCCAATATTTGTTATAGATCGATCTAATGATAAAAGTTTTTATATAATTTATTGATAGCTGATAGATTTCCCACAGATAGTCCTTATTTTATATAAATTGAGAAGTTGAAATAAATAAATATTTTTAGACTTCAAATTGGAATTCCCTGTAAGCTTTTTCTAATAGAAAATTCGTAATTATTTTTTTAATTATATTATTATTATCAATTTTTACTTAAGTTAAACTTAAGCTAAAGCAATAAGTGCATAGAATATATTAAACAAATTTAAAAATATGAATTTCAAGTTTACTTTTCAATTGTTGTAAATTTAAATCAATTTTAACACTCTTTAATGGTAAATTTTTGATGGCATTAACTTAATCTTGGGTATTTTGTGAAAGGATTAAGCCAATGACAATGGAGCCAATCTATATCAATCTTCTATTTCATAGTGACTTACATACATCATCAAAGAGTATCAAGTATTCGGCTTATTACCTATAACACTGCGCAATCTGTGCTGCTCCTTGGCTCTGGCTGGGATATCTTTGTTTTTGTTTAGATAGTGCGAGTGGCTCTATTAGCAGCTTTCTATTCAAGCATTTGTGGCTTCTAATTGTCTTTCGAGCGAATTTTGTGCAGACAAAGTTTACAGTGCCCACAACCGACTCGGGGGCGGGGCACAATTGCTGTGGTCCATTAGTTGGTTGGGCTTCGGCAGAATGAAGTATTCAAAACAAAAAGAAATAAAACAAAACAAAATTAAATACATTTTAAAGACTTTTGCAATTGAAGCAATTCATTTGCGTTTTACCTTTTTTTTTTTTTTTTTAATTGAGCTTAGTTGACATCAGGGCAAATTTTGCATTTC